TTGGAACTGTTATGAGTGTTTTACATACATTGTAATACTTAATCTTCACAATATCCCATGAAGTAAAATATCTGCAACTCCCACAACAGAGATGGATGGATACACAGAAAGAGCACTGACTTGTCCAGGGTTGCTGAAATGATGTGCAGTCAGAATTTGGATGCTGGTGGTCTAGCTGGGGAACCAGTATTCTTCGCCGCTACCCTTGACAACCGCCCATGACTACCTGCCCTTTTAACTTCTTTCCCTCAAGAATGCACATTGCAACACAATATATATTTTTCATGCTCACAGAAGCACAGGTCAGACTGGGAGTAGAAGCCATTGAACTTAATTGCTCTCCAGAAACATGAAGTCCCTGAACTCTCCTCCACCCAATGATTATTTCACACCTGCTTGAACTTCTCCACACATGGGGAGCTCACAACCTGCCATGGCGAGCTAATCCCTCTTAGGACACTTAGGACCATCCTAATGCCCACTCACAGATTTAAGCAATGTTTCCCTCCCTATATCTTTCATTATCTGAGTTCCATCCCTTGAAAGGGCAGAGATCAAGTTCAGTAAACATCATAAATTATAAGGGCTCCACTCTGGGAAATGGGAAGATCTGGGGCAAACAAAACTTATTTTCCATGGTGGAGCACAGATACAAAGAGGCCCAGTAGTAGGAGGTGGTAGAAAGAGCAGAAAAGGAAAGGAGTAGAAAAACCAAGGGGAAAGAGGACTCCTGGGACCCTTCGTGCAGTGAACTCAGCACCAACTAAAAGAGGAGGCAAGAGAAGCAGTAAAGAAGTGCTCACAAAATTCTCAGGACCCTGTGAACACTTCTGAAACAGCTCTAAGCAAGACCAGCATGCTCCTGACGATGGGCTGAGCCTTTACAAAATTCCTCACTATCGAGGGACGCCCTACCCAATAGCCAAACACATTGCCACTCAGTTGGCATGGGTCTGAATCTCAGCAGCTACTCTCAGAAGAAAAGGAGATGCTGACCGACTGGCTGAGGGTGCTTAATTCAGACCTGTTCTCTTCTCTGGAACTGCAATTTCATAGTTGAGCAGTCAAGTGGGGTGCCTGTCCGGCCAACCTGCCAAAACAAGAACCTCAGGAGAAGTGTTTGCTTCCTCTCAGAGGAGAGGAAAGCTGCCCGCATGTTTACGAATTCAGCACAAGTAAAAGTGGAAAGGGAACTGCTAAGGTGCTCAGTTTCCATCCTCCCCTTCTTTCAAAGCAATGTCATTCCTGTGGCTGAGCTGGGCATATGGCCACACAGGATAAAGGCCACATCTCTCAGCATCCTTTGTAGCCACATGCTCTGGCCAAAGGGATGTAAGTGAAAGTGCTATATGTCAGCTCCTAGAATCTTCTTTTAGCCCTTCTTCTCCAGTTCTCTCTTCATCCTTTGCCTGAAATGCACATGTATGCAGGTGAGGCACTAACTGCCATCTTGGTCACTGTCAACAAGGATCAATCTTTAGGGTTAAAGTGGAACAGGTCTGGGTCCCTAAGGAATTCACAGGGCACAGCCACCAAACAGCTCTTCACTGCATGTTTACATGCTGTTTGTATGTAAACTGGATGTTTACATAACTGCATACCTGTGGACTTTTGTTGGAGGGAGAAATAAACATCTTGTTTAAGTCACTGTTATTGTGGGTCTCTGTTCCTTTCATCCACATGGACTCCTAATTCATCCAAGACACTTACCACATATTGTTGAATTTGAATGAATGCTCTTAGAATCGTGCTGAGAATTGGGGACCACAGCTAATCAGAGCTTAGAGTCTTATCCATGACTCAGCAGAAGAAGAAAAAAAATGAGCAATTGCAAGGTTGTGAATTCATTACTGCTAATCAATGCTTGTAAACAGGGTTGGCTAGAACTGTGCTTTGCCCCCCTTCTACTCCCCAAATCCCTGCCACATCCAAAGTCTCAGCAGAGAAGTTTCTACTCCTTGCACAATTATAATCACCCACGTCTTAGCATCTCTTTGGTGTGCTATTTGTGTCCATCTGGCTTCTGGCCAGAGCCTTTGCCAGCTGAATTATATCAGAAAGAGCCAAGACATGGCTAGGTATACATTTTAAACACCTTTCCAGCCTTGCAGTGCAGTGAGCAGATCGCTCCTATAAGTAAGACTTAACAACATAGAGCTCACCCATGACCTTGAAGTTTCAGTTATGTGGTGGGAACAGAAGACTGATCACATGTGGTTCAGAAGTAAGTGTGGGGACAGAGGTTAAGGTGGCAGGCAGCTGAAAATTTTGCCTGCCTAGGGTCCCTCTGCCCTTTTCTTTTAGAAACAACATCCAGCTCCTCCACTGGGAAAAATGCCTCTCTGGGGTTCCTTGTAGATTTGGTGAAACTATTGGTCAGAGGGCTCACATCCCTGGCCAAGGAGTAGAAATGTGTTTAAGCTAGGCCAACTGAACTCTTGCCCAAAGACCTTTGTCTTGAGAGGAGTGACAAAGAATAAAAACTAATCGGGGGTGAATTCTTCCCATAGTAAAACTCTGAAGAGACCACTTCACTAGTTCCTGCTTCCTGGAATTCCAGATCTGTCTGAGACGTGATTATCTGACCACTTCCTCCATCCTAAGAATATTTAGCCTCATCAGTCAATCTATCTTATCTATCTATCTATCTATCTATCTATCTATCTATCTATCTATCTATCTAATCTATGTATCTATCTAATCTGGCTCTCTAGCAATCTGTCTGTCCTATCTATCATCTATCTTAATATCCCCATTTCAATATTCTAGGTAGAGCACTGGGAACAATATTATTTTCCCACAAATCAATGCTACAAAATTCATTTTCCACATTCAGGAAGACAGTGCATTTGTTTCTATGGCACTCCCCAAATATTTTTCCTCTGTGACTCAATTTGTAAGGAACCAGCTTCCTTTTATTTAGATGAGTCTATCTGGAGTTACGGCAGATCATTTGGTATTTTCATACAAAAACATGTTAATGGCCCTTAAGTAAACAGAGGATTTCCACTTTTCCTTGTGAAAGAACAGGGCCTTCCTTGACTGTAAGGTGTCAGTGGAAACTCAAGCCCATTTCCTCCTCTTTTTTTTTTTCCTCACGTCATCCCTGAGACAGAAACATGGCAGAGAAGACAAGGATCCCTTTAAGAATTCCAAAGATCCAGCTCACATCCTTTCCTGGTGGCTCCCTCTCACCTCCTTCCCAAACCCCATCAAACTTCTTAGGCTGGAAGTTCACACCCTCCATGTTCTGCTCCTCCACCTTTCCAGCCTTATGCCTTCCTGTCTTCAGCCAAGACCTCAAACTGCTCCTGACAAAGCCAGGAAGGACTCCCCACTCTCAACTCCATTGTCTGAAAACAGGTATCATAATAAAAGACCAAATCAAATTACGTCTCTTTAGGAATGTTTTCCTTAATTCCTCCAGTCACACCCCCCCACCCCCAGCCTGGTATGTTCATTCATTCTGATTACCCACAGCATTTCTAACTTTTGGTACACTCTGCCTTGTAATAAAGTGTTAAAAATATATTTATCCTTCCCAACTCTACCTGTACCTCCTCTCTTCCAAGTGCAGACTTATTAAGAGATAGGACTATATATTTTGTGTTACTGTACCTCACATTCTTCCCTGTACATACAGATGCTCAATAAATATTTGTTGAGTGCATAAAAAGCAAAGCTACCCAAGAACATGTTTCTAAAAGATTCTATAGTGAATGTAACTTGGAGATGGTGATAATAAATGTAATTTTTAAAATGTTGGCTTGGTTTTTCTACTTTCCCCTCAAATATACAAATTTAGATAGAAAAAACAACATCGATATTGGACTGATTTATATCTTGATCTAAGTATACAGCTGGGACATGGCAGCACTCTTCATTATTGATGGTGATGTAATCACACTGAAGCCCAAATACACATAAACGAAAATTTCTCTCTCTCTAAGTGTGCTTCAGCCCATGGAGACACCAGCTTTTCTCTCCTTTTTGTGTGTATTTACTCCATCTGGAATCACATGACTCTCACTATCAGAATCTGTGCAAGTGGATTTCCGTGTAGGAAATCATTTCCAGGCTCGAACTGAGCACTGATTTCTTTGTTGTGATTCTTATTTGAGTCTGTTTCATCAGAAATAAAGAGTTTTGATTACAGGAAAGTGAGATTATTTCATTTCAAAGCAACACTTTTCTCAATAGCTTAAACCCCCCTTTTTTCCCCCAGAAATGTCCCTTTTTCCTAGGAAGAGAAAAAGTCCCATCCAGCCACACCTTCTGACCTCCAGCCTCTGACTCAGACTGTCTGTTTAAGGCCAGCACCTCCACCCGTGCACCTGAGCTTGTGCAGACTGATCTGGGAGGGTATCCCATTAACTACCCCGCTCTCCTCAGTGTCTTCACCTCTCTCCAAGATGCCTCCTTCCTGCCAGTCAATAAACAAGAATAATTTCTTTCCATACTAAAAATAAGTGAACTTCTCTTGACCCTGCATCCTGTTCCAGTTGCTGCTGAATCTCTCCTCCAGACTTCCCTAAGGCCAGTTGTCTCTTACTGCCTCAACATCCTCACATCCTGGCCCCTCCTCAGCCTCAGTCCCTCTGCCCTCACCACCCTGCAGCGTCTGCTGCTAGTCAAGTCTATGACTGCCACGTTCAGCGAACCCTCTTTGGTGTGGATCTGTTTGACCTCTCCTTTTTTTTTTTTTTTTTTTGAGACGGAGTCTCGCTCTGTCACCCAGGCTGGAGTGCAGTGGCGCGATCTCGGCTCACTGCAAGCTCCACCCCCCGGGTTCACGCCATTCTCCCGCCTCAGCCTCCAAGTAGCTGGGACTACAGGCGCCCGCCACCTCGCCCGGCTAGTTTTTTGTATTTTTAGTAGAAACGGGGTTTCACCATGTTAGCTAAGATGGACTCGATCTCCTGACCTCGTGATCCACCTGCCTCGGCCTCCCAAAGTGCTGGGATTACAGGCTTGAGCCACCGCGCCCGGCCCACTTCTTCATTTTTCAAGGCACTGTTGATCACTGTTCCTCCATGATGAAGAGACCATGACGCCATGTTCTCCATATGGGCACCTCTTCTTCTACTCCACCACTAAAAGTTTATTTGGTTTATTGTTCTTATTGATTAACATTTAATTCTTGGCTACTCATGTCCAGCCTCATGCTTTAATTCCTACCGAACATGCTTAAACCTATCCAACCTATATCTTCAGCATCTCTCCTGAACTCCAGCCTCTACACATAATTGTATTTTGAATGTCTCCACCTGGATGGTCCACATACACAACATATACAAGACCAAACTCATCTTTCTCCACAGAGCAGCTCCTCCCTATTTCTAGCTCAGATGCTGGTACCACCACTAATCCATTCTACTTAGGAGGGAAACCTGGATGTTGTCTTCACCTCTGGCTTGCCCCTCGCTTACCATCACCACACATGTATCTTATTAGTCACGAAGTCAACTAAGTGTCTTATTAGCCACTAAGCCAATTTGCCCCACAAATCTCTTTTCGTAGCTCCTTCTCTTCAGCCCTAGTATAGGCTGTCCCCTAAATGCCTGCAATAACCTTCTAACCAATCTCTCTGCTTCTACCCAGCCCCATCACCCTAAAATCCAGAATGTGTCTGGACACACCACAATAGCACTCCCCTGCTGAAAACCCCTCATGGGCTCTCTGCTAAAGCTCATGGATATGACACACTCCCAGCCTCTCATTTACCTGCAGAAATGAAGATTTCCTTGTTTGGCTCAACGCCTTTGCTCATACCACCCCTCTGCCTGGATTGCCCTTGTGCTCTCTCTTCCCCTTCCCATGGGTAATTACTACTTATTTTTAAAGCATCTGCTCAGGTATCATCTCTTTATAGAAGTCTTCTTTGGCACCCTTCCCATGAAGGTGCTCTTCCTCTTTGCTGCCGTATCTCATGGACATATTTCTACCACCAACTTTATCCCACTGTATTTTATTCACTCATTCATGGATTTTGGGCTCCCTTCCCTAACTCTAGTTTACAAACCTCTAGAGGATAATTACCATCTCTTTTTCATCTTTCTTTGATGATGGCTTCTAGCATCTAGCTAGGAAGGAACCTAGCTTGCTTCTGTATCTAGCAAGGAACCTGCCTCATTGAAAGTTCTCAGTAAGTGTTGGTTGAGTAAATGACTGTCTCAGTGAATACATAAATTGTTTCTCAACTGGAAGTAGCCTCAAGCAGACCCTCCGGCTCAATTTTTTTTCAGTCAAAAATGAATCTTAAAAGGACAAATTCAAATTAACATCAATTCTGGACTTAGTAAAAACAACAGAATAAAAAGAAACTGGTCTTATCTGCTTTCTCTGAAGCAGGAGGATGCAGAAGGTAACTTCTGTGTGGCTCTGTACTCTTTACCCCAAGTTCCCCAAATATACAATTTCATCTGACCCCAGGTGTGTGTGTGTGTGTGTGTGTGTGTGTCTGTGTGTGTGTAATGTACTATTCTTATCTACTATGGGGTACTCTTATTTACTCTCACCTAAATAAAACCATAAGTAGAAGATGCACAGATATGTAGGAATTGGGCCAGAATGATGGACAGTCTCAGCATTTACTTCATTGTGCCCTGTGACTCTCTCTGAGCTCACCCCTTCATGCAGGAAGCATCTGGGCTTTCATACCAGATTGTGAAAATTGTTTATGTGGTGCATTCCTCTCTTCCAAATCCCTGTTTACTCACTGTGCCTAAATCCAGTGCTTTGTGATAGCTTTCCTGCTGAGTTAGATTTTCCCATCGGCCTGTGTGTGTGTGTGTGTGTGTATGTGTGTGCATCCATACAGCCTCAGCCACAGCTTTCACAAATGCCCAAACTGGGAATAATCACTTTTTTGCCTGTTGTCCACATTGGAGGTTACTCTGGAGAGACTGGTAGTGCTTTCAAGACGCATCAGTTAGTATCTCAATGAGTCATTCATTGAAAAAAAATTAACGTCAAACAATAGTGGTAAAATAGCTCACATTTATTGAACATTTACTGTGACAAACAATGCCAGATGATATACTAAATGGTTTGTAAGCATTATTCAATTATTTGCACTTGGCAAAATATCTACTACTGTTATTTGCACTTGACAGATGAAGAACTGGAGGTTGAGAGAGTTCAAGTAACTTACGACCTTCCACCAGTAAGTGGCAGGGCTGGGATTCAAACCCAGGTCTGCTTGTAGCTAGAGCCTAGAATATTAACTGCTACCCTGTGCTGTCTCCTACCTAAGAGCAAATGAAACCACTCCCCGTCCAAACGTTTTCAGCATTTCCTCTTTTTGGTATAGATTTTTCTTTTCCAACATCTTGATCAAAGGGAGCTGCTGTGGTTTAAGGAGAGAGCTGACTAGGAGCTCCTGTCACTCCACCCCTTGCCTTGCTTGGTCTTTCCATAGGATACACAGGATTTGGAAATCACTGCTCTATGAAAGCAGAAACAGCATGTATTGCTATGGCATCCACAGTGCCTAGAGTATTTGCACACAGCCTGTGCTCAATCAATATAGTTCTAAAACGGAAGATTCTCTCTTGTGGTCACCTACAGCATGGATTTCCCTAAACTACCCAACAGGACACCAAAGAATAAACAGCACCTCTGACCTTTGAGCCATGGAGGGGAGAGTGATATCTATCCGGAAGGTAGAGATGACGACTTACTTGTACCTGAAACAGAGACTAGGAAGGAGGTCGGCATGGGGTGCTATGGCAGTGGCTGGGAGGCTTCCAACTGATCCAAACTGCTCTTCCTTAAGAGAACTTTGTCTTGGGTTTTGTTTTGTTTTTTTGCTAACTGTGTTTTCCATGCTTGACATTACCAGGTGACAGCTTCTCCTCAGTGGAGAAATTCATCATCCCACTGGGATAATTCCAGAGTTATTGTAAGAGTTCCTGCTCCCACCAGATCAAGCCAATCAGGAAGCTCCTCCACATGGGTTGTGCCGGGCTGACTGTTTCCCGCTTGGCCTCTTCCTGCTATTGTTCTCTGTCATGTTCTCAGAGGCACAACTACTGAACCCTACCCTTTCCTCTCAGAAGCTGAGGGCTGCATCATGGCTTTGGGTCAAGGTATACTCGGCTCAGAGATCAAGGCATCTGGCAGAGAGAGACGGGCCTGAAATGAAAATAGAGGCAGGCAGTTCCTGGCCCAGGTGACCGGAGCGGAAATCACAGAGCTTAAAACACCCATAAATGTGAGTTTTTCTGGTCTTGGAAGAGAAGTTTGAAATGTTCTGGGTCACTCATTCATGTTTATCAAGCATTATCAAGCAGGTGTTGCACTATATGCAGTCACAGCTGCCCAGTCTCTACTTTGAGAAATTCATCATCTCATGGGGGAGGAAGCTATATGAACAGTTACAACGCAGTGCACAGTGGAGCTCAAATTGCAAGACCAAAATGCTGCAGAATTCAAAGAAGAGAGTTTGAGTAACTCTGCTTGTGGGGAGGCAGGGCAGGATTTCAGGGGCTTGGAACATGTCAGTAGGATCTTGAATGATGAGAAAAATGATCAAGGCATAGAGGTGTTCAGACAGCATTTCAAGCTAGGGTGATAACATGGACAAAAGGGCTTTGATGCAGAAATGTGAAAGGCAGGCTCAAGTGAGTGAATGAGGACATCTGTAGGACTGGCCTATCTGAGTGCACTCATGATGGAAAGAAAGTGACGGGGAGGATCAGGTCCAGGATGTGACGGTTCTTGAATGCCACACTAATGAGTCTGATCCGGAAAGCCACAGAAAGCCATTTGAGTTTCTTGTTTGTCTGTCTGCCTTTTTATGTGTATGTTTTAAGGCAGTGATAGGATTGGCTATGTTCTAAAAAGACCATGTAGACAGCTATGAAAAGAACGGATTTGGATGTGTGGAAGGGGTGTAGAGTGAAATCACAAAGAACAATTAGGAGTTGTCCAAGCAAGGGATGGTGACGCTAAACTAAGCATGAACTATTGTGGGAAGCAACAAGGCTCAATTTATCGATTTTTACAGCATAATGATGTTGACAACTTCCTAAGCTAGCCTTTTTGCGTTCGTGTGGCTGCATAGGCTGGGCTGAAAAAAAGTCGGCAACGTTACATTGTAAAACGATTGCTGGGCACAGTGACTCGTGCCTGTAATCTCAGCACTTTGGGAGGCTGAGGCAGGTGGATCACTTGAAGTCAGGAGTTCAAGACCAGCCTGGCCAACATGACGAAACCCCGTCTCTACTGAAAATATAAAAATTAGCCAGGCAGCGTGGCACAGGCCTATAATCCCAGCTACTGGGGAGACTGAGGCAGGAGAATTGCTGGAACCCAGGAGTTGGAGGTTGCAGTGAGCTGAAATTGCACCACTGCACTCCAGCCTGGATGACAGAGCAAGATTCCATCCCCCTACCTCCCCAAAATTGTAAAACTATGACCAGAAGTAGATTGAGGTTGCCCAGTGGCTAGAGATTGCCTGGGGTTGGTGGGACCCCTGGATTTTCCTCTTCTTTCCAGTACACCTCTCAGCCACTTCCATGTGATGACCCAGCTGTCCCAGGCACCACAGGGCACCTCTTCTTGAGGAAAAAGAGGAAATGCAACATAAACTGACCATTCTTCTCTCTTTTGTAAAAAAGTTTATTTATTTATTTATTTTTAGTAGAGACAGGGTTTCACTATGTTTCCCAGGCTGGTCTTGAACTCCTGGCCTCAAGTGATCCTCAGCCTCAGCCTCCCAAAATGCTGGGATTACAGGAACTAGCCACCATCCCTGGCCTGTTTCTTCTCCCTGTGATCATTTATGGTAAAGTGTTGGCCAGGGCATGAATCTGAAGCTCGAGGCCCTAATTTAAGATGTTCCAGGGACTGAAATCATCTCAAGCCCAAGGACAACCTAGCCCCTTAACCTATTGAGCTGCATTACTGCCCTCACCCGGCTGCAGCAAAACAGGGCTTGGAGTAGCCAAGTGAAGGATGGTCATGGAGTTTGAGAAATGCTGAAACTTTTCTCCTGTACGGCTGAGAAACTGAGTCAACATCTAACGCTGCATCCTGCATGTGCTGCAGGTGGATCGCCACTCTGCACTGTTGGTTTCTCATGGGCACAGTCATTGCATTCTCTCTGGCATCTCCCTGCCATTTTCCTATCTTAGATAAAATAGAGACATTTTGCCTTACAAAAAGTGAGAAGGGCCTCCTTTGGAGCCCTTTTCCGGTAGTACATATGGTGTTGAGGCAGAAGCATCCGTATCCTGGCCCTGGCTCATGCGTACCCCCTGGGAGGCTGGACAGGGACAATGGCCTCGATGGCTGAGTCCACCTGGCCTGAGTGCAGAGAACACTGACCTTCAGGAGTTGAGTGGGCGGGTCACTGTCCCAATACATTTATTATGGGAGGTGGAGACAAAAACTTTAGAAACTAAAAATCAAGTTTAAAATAGTCTTTGGTCAACTTTATCCCTGTAGACTTCTCAGCCCTAATTCTATTTTACAACAGCTGTTAAGTTGAGAATGATGCAGATTTCTCGGTTTTCAAATCCAAAATGTTCTGTGAGGGTAGAATTTTCCTTACACCAGGAGACTGTAAATTGGAACCTCCAGATACAAAATGATTCACACGTAGGGATCAAAGCCTGAGGGGTAAAGCATTCCTTAAGCCAAATTTTAAAAGCCCTTTTATAGCATGGAAGTGGCTTGCGTAAGGTCCAAAGAAAAACAATGCCACTTAAAATCCATCCAGAGACTCATGCTTTTAATTAAAGCCCTCTGTCAAAGAGATGATCTGATAGGCCACTTGAAATGTGAACTCTTGGATACAGAGATAGTACATCGTGTTCCAGAATAATAATTTTAAAAAACAGCCTGCCGCTTCCCACTGGTTTGGCTTATGTGAAATCAGCACCAGCCACCTCTGTGTTCAGCAGAGGTCCCACCCCTGAAGTTGTCCTACCACATCCATCATTTCTAAATCCTGAGACTAAGGGAGAATTACCTGCTGAAAGCACAAAGCAACTTCCCTGGAACCCTCAGCTATAAGAGTTCAAGACAGACTAGATCTGTTTTAGAAATAGTACAGGCATCTCAGTATGAGACGTCTCACGCGGAGGCAATGACCTGGGACCCGCATAAATGTTTTCATGTGAATGAATGAATGATCACAAGCCTCCTGAGCACATGTGAAAATTATAGTCCTATGAAACCCAAGGTATAATAATAATAACATTTGTGTAATGCTTTAGAGTTTACAACATCCTTTCATAGCAATTAGGGATTATTTTATTCCCAAGTTATAGGTAAGAAAATTGACAGGAAGAAGAAAGGGAATCTAAACACCTTTCATGCTGCAATCTGATTTTCTCCTCATCTATAAAATGGTTATAATGATGCGTATGGAATACCTATATCAAAGTTATGAAGCTTAAATGAGCTACTGTTGAAAATATCTCAGAACACTGCCTGGCTCCATGGAGCAAGTCCTATTCAAATGTTTGTGCTTCCTTTCTCTTCCAGGGCTTTAAAAAATTTTAATTTAGAAACCAGTCTGTTAAATACAGCATTTATAAGACAAACCAAAACATACTATTTAATAGAATAAAGTCAAATTCATCTTAATATGTGCTTTGTGGTGTACAATATTCAGGAATATCTGTAGATTCTGATGTTAAACTGATTTTCCAGAGAATGAGAATACATTCTATCATTTGAATGCTAAAAGGAAAATTAAAGTGTTGATTATTGGCTTCAAGGATGGTAAAAGTTAAGATTGTGTATGTACATGTGTGTCTACCTGTAAAAAAAATCCAGAAAATTTGATGCAAGTTCGCTGTGTGGGAACGGCTTATGTGCACATGGAGGGCCATCTAGTGGCAGGTGAAGTCATAGTTCCCTGAGGTAGCACGTGTGGGAATTTAGGTAAAGCTGGGAGGAGACGTCTGGCTGTGATTCTGCAGATTTGGTATTGTGTACTTACGAGGAGAAACTTCATTAAATGTCCACAACACTGAACTCCTTGTTTCCTTGTTGTTTTCAAAGGAACGGTGCACTTGCCCTTAATGCTGTGTGCAGAAATATCCTGCTGAGCCATGTAACCCAGGAATAGGGAGAATAAGTGGTTGGGAAGGTCCAGAGGTCCGGCCTTCTAGAAGTAGTGGACCTATGTGAACCATCTTCATTGAGATAATTACTTTAGAGGGGGCACCTAATAAATGGGTTACAGTAGGTGTCCCCAAAGACCAATTATGAACAACCCAACCAGGTGCCCTGTGGTCCAGTATGGCCAACCCCTCCCAGTATACATATCCTCCCTGCCACCAAAGGTCAGTCTCGGTGCTGATGTGAACCCCAAGGCTCATGGCTCTCCTGCTTCTGAAAAGCAGCAGCAAGACCCCGCACAGCATGCTCCTGCAAAGTGCTCTTCCTCCCTGAGGCTGGCTCATCATGCTTCTCCAGCACGTGTGTCCCAGGCCCTTTGCTCAAGAGCAGCTTTTTCACCCATGCCTCTGGTAACCCAGTGATCTGGGCCAGGAGTGATATCTGGCTCATGAGCTCAAGCAGAAAAAGAGGTCCATGAAATCTCTGAGGTTCCAGAGACCGGGGCCTCTGTCATCTCAGCAATGCCAGAAACCAACACAAGGACCGGCATAAAGCAGACCTGGGTATCTGTGGAAGTGAGTGGGAACTGAGTAGGGACTGGCTTTTATGGGTGTGCACACTTGCTCCCTCATGTTCTCTTCTCACTTGGACCAGAAGGGCATAGCTGTGTTCCATATGGACAGGGAATTTCTCCCAGAGCAGGCATCGGTCATATGTACCTTTGGATTTCCAAAGTCCAAGCAGGGCCAAGGGCACAGTAAATGTCTGGAAACTGACAGTTAGACTCTGGCATGTGGCCGTGAGGTCCTCTACTCTAAAAGCTAACTGAGGAGTGGCCAAGGCACTGAATACATTCATCAATGCATTCCACCTTTTAATGCATTGAACTCAACAGAAGTAGCACTTACAAAAGAAGTCAATGCTGACATATCTCACCTAACAAAGTGCCACTACAAGGGCTTCCTGGAGTATCCAGCTACTTTTACTTCATTACAATGATGGCTCACTGTACAGCCTTTCAGGGACCCAGTAAATTGAGGGATGGCTGAATTGACTTCATAACGAAAGAATGCTGCTGTTCTGATTACATCCCTCCCACACTCCCATGGAGGCTCTGCCTCTGGCCAGAGAGAAACA